AGTTGAGAAGGTAATAGTGGACGAGAAAAAAATAGTAGGCATGATATTCAAAAAAACATCCCGTGCCAAATTTCAGGCTCAAGATGACAGACCTTTGATGTGCTATGGCTGAAACAAAAAATATTTTTATTACCAGTGAATCTGTCAGTTATTTTCTGGCTTATTTATTTATCTATTATTACTTTAGTCTATGAGATGCCGTAAAGTCATAATTTCTCAGAGCCCAAAATGAATCCTTCAGAGGTCTTGTTTTGTCCAACCAATTGTACAGAACAAAGAGCAGAGCAAAACATTTTTACTTGTAAAATTATGATTTGATTTAAATTATTTGATTTGAAATGTTTTATTCATCACCAATATTGTTTCATAAATTACCTCTTAATCGCCTATTTTATTAAACAGCTAATTGTGTGGGCTCTGATTGCAAAAGAAGTCTGTAAAATGTATAAAAGCCCAAAAAAGTATGCTTGTATCATTTGAATTCTGTCTTTTGGGGTATTAAAGACAAGATACCTACTTTTAGCACTTCAAAACTGTGTGCTTGTGATTTTTAGTAAGAGCAATGATGTGGCAGCTTTCAAAGAGGAGCATTTTGCAGCCATTCGAGAACTCCAAGAGGCACAAACAAACTCACTGAGCAAGATGGCAGACATTGTTACAGAGCTGGAAAGGTGAGCACTCGACTGTTGCTCGAGGTATTTTTGGAGTGTCAGTTTGATTTGTGTTGGCGTTTAGCTTAAAATTCTGTCAGTTTGTAAGGTTCACAGACGGCTTGTCTTACTTTTCAGCACCAAAGAGGCTCTGAAGGAAGCAGAAGGTAGACAGAAAACACTAGAAGCGGAGGTGGAGACAGTGACCCAGCAGATGAAGGAGGAGATGGACAAAGTGGTTGAACAGAAAGAGGAGGAAATCAAAAGAGTGACGGAAGGGTTAGCGGAGCACCAGCAGAGACAGCTAGCTGAAGCAAAAGCCAAGGAGGAGAATTCAAGGTATCCTGCAAATTCACTTTAAGTCTGTGTTGAAGTAACCATCATATTTCTACCTTTTTTACTTATCTTTTTTTCCTTGACTTGATAGAATATTGCTGGAGGTGCAGACTCGCCTTGCACAAAAAGATGAGGAGATGACGGCCATGGAGGCCAGCCATGCCAGCCTGATCAGTCAGCTACAGCAGGAGCTACAGCTGCAGACAAAAGGAAGGGAAGAGGCGCTGGGGCAAGTAGAGGAACAGAGAGGTCAGAGTGTAACTCAGCTCCAAAATGAGAAAGAAAAGGCTTGGAAACTCCTAGAGGAGGTCAGCCAGGAAAAAGAGGAAATAATGGAACAGCTCCAGCGAGAAAGAGAAGAGAAGGGTAAAATTCAGACAGCCCTTCAGGAGGAGAGGGGAGCATTGGTGGTTGAAAGGAAGGACCACCAGCAGGTCAAGTCAGAGGTGCTCAGACTTCAGACTGAGCTTGAGAGAGTAGAGGAGGAAAGCAAAAGTCTTCTGTCTCAAGTAGAACTCAAAGACCAGTCCAGGCTTGCTCTTGAAAATCAGCTAAACAAGGCAGAGCAGGACAAAAATCGGCTTCAGTCTCGCCTGGATGAGGTTGAACAAGGGCGCTCGAGCTTCCAGGCCCAATTAGACCTTATGGAAGAGAAAACACGGGCTGTGCAGTGCGAGTTGGAAGAACAAAGACAAGACAGACGGGCTCTGCAGGAGCAGGTAGAAGTACTGACTCAGGAAAAGGTTACACTGCAGTGGGAGATGGAGGAGCAACGACAAGAACTCCAAAGACAAATAACTGAAGCACAGGAGAAAAGGTGAGGAAGATTGTATTTTATTTGTGTATGTGTAATCAGGTGTTTGTTTGTTTATTTTTATAGCGCATTTGAACTCTTCATTCCTTTCTTCCAAGCTCTCAAAGTTCAGAGACAGAACACTGGAGGAACCAATATGAGGAGCTGTTTGCGAAAGTCAGACCCTTCCAGGTCAGTCATTTCCACATCAATTAAAATAACCCAGATCATCTTTCATTAAAGCTCCTCTAATCAGTTTTAATCAGCTTGTAGTGACGAAACCACAGATAATTATCACCCAACTCTGCAGTTCCGATCAGCTTTGTGACCAAGATAGCTTTTTCAGGGGCAATACAGATACTGATTAAGGAATCCGGAAATCAATATTTGGAACTGATACACATTACAGTATAAAATAAAAATCTTAATGTCAAAAAATTTTAGAATAACCTGTAGGGCTGAGTATTGTTAAGAACCTCACGATTCGATTCGATTTTGATTCTTTAGGTCACGATTCGATTCGATATTGATTTAAATGCTTCGATATCGATTCAGTGCTGACTTCAATGACAAAACCGCTGTCTTTACCTCTGTGTACAGCTTCGGGACGGCAACTTCCGTCATGTGTTTGCATGTTGGTATGGCGTATCGTTGTTCGAGTGTGTATACCATCCTCTTAAGACCCCCGTTTTCCCACGACACTGTACGGTCGGAGGTCCTTACATATGAAGACGGCCACAGACTTCGTTATCTTTTGTGTGAGGGCAGAGTTTGGCGGCAGTTTGCAAAGGAAGGGTCTTTCGAGAGAGTCTGTTTTAAATCCACAGGTTTAGCCGCGGGTTGCTGCAGAGCATCTGCATGGTGTCGGCTCAAGTGGTTGCACAAATTTGTTGTGTTATTGCAGTATTTTAGTACTGCCTGGTATAGTTTACACATTACCTTACTTTGGTCTATTTCCTGTGTTCTGGGTTTACACTGGAATCCAAAATGACTCCAAACGTCTGCTTTTAAAGTTGAAGGTGCTGGGTTAACACTGCTGCTACCTGCTTCAGTTGCCATGTTGTTGTTGTTGTGTGGTCGAGTGCGGCCTCCATCCGTACAATGCAAATCACACAAAGGTGTTGCTCACCACGCCCCCACTGGCCAGGGGCTTGAATCGATTCAGAGGATTTAATGAATCGATATTGAATTGGGAAAAAATATATTGCAATGCATTGATGAATCGATATTTTTACCCACTCCTAATAACCAGTGCTGGATTGTACATTTACTCAAGTACTGTACCTAAGTACAATTTTTAGGTACCTGTACTGTACTGTACTGTACTGTACTGTATTGATTAGTATTAGTATTTCCATTTTATGCTACTTTATACATCCACTACATTTTGGAGGCAAATATTGTACTTTTTTCTCTACTATATTTATTTTATAACCTACTGGTTACTCGTTACTTAGCATTCATCTTATTAATAGAAAATATAAATGCATTCTTATAGATTAAGCTACCCAGCAGTATATTAAGTAATTACTGTAAGTATATTTTAATGCTAATACTTTTGTACTTATATGTATAACTAAATGCTGCATCAGAGAACTTTTGAACATTATCTTTAAAGAACTATTACTCATTCCATGCAACCAATCAGATAGTGTTGTGGGCGGGACAATGAGCGAGACTACACAGTGGTGACAACAGACCGAGAGAGGTGGCTGCATAACAGCGTGCTACTTTGGCTCTGATTTTCATTTTTAAATTATTATTTTATTGGCAATTGGAAAAACAATAAAAACTACGGCTCAGATAATTGGCCAGGCTGATAATCAGTCTATGTCTACTTGTAAAAAAAAAATGTTAGTGTCTCTGAGCTCATTGTTTTGGTTTTACAGGCTGCAGCTCACTGTTTTGATTTAATCAACTCTCGTCAACCTTGTTTCGAGACCCGGCTTGCCACCTAGTGGCCAGAAAAAATCAATTCATGCCGTTTTTAGTTAAAGAGTTTAGCTCTCAATGTTTATCTTGGTGTGTGCCCACAGGAACAGCTCAATGCATTTGCAGCTGAGCGAAATGCACTACTCAATGAAAACGGAGCAAACCAGGAGGAATTAAACAAGTTGTCTGATGCTTACGCTCGTCTGCTGGGCCACCAGAATCAGAAGCAGAAGATCAAACATGTGATGAAACTGAAAGATGAGAACATCTTCCTAAAACAGGTGATACATGAGAGCAGCACTGTCTGCTTCCCAAACCACACACATAGACGCACGTTTTGTCTCGAGTTCAAATGCCTGTCCTTAATCCCCCTGGCCCTGGCTGTGTGTGTAGGAGATGTCTAAGCTTCGGTCCCAGGTGAACCGGCAGAAGAGTGATCTGGAGCAGCTGAAGTCAAAGCTCCCTGGTACTCCTCGCCGCAAGTTCGATCCCAGCAAAGCTTTCCAACACGACAAAGAGAACAGGCAAACTGAAACAACTGAAACTCTTAAAGGTGAGCACTAACCTGACCTCACTGCAACACCCTGAACCTACTGTATATATTTTACCTGATGAAACTGTATATGTGGAAACCTAATTCTTTGTTTGTTTTGTCAGGAACTCATTATTCATAATGGAGCTCTTCTACCAGGCAACAACCGACAACTAATTGGCAGCCTAATTTAATTTCTATGGTTTGGTCTTTGGAATACTTACCAACCTCTTACTTGGATGCTTTTTAATCTGTATTTGTGCATTATTCTGTGTCATTATTATCAGTAATTCATGCTTCTTAAAAGTGTAAACTATATTCCCACATCCTGTTTTACAGCCTTTTGTGTCCAATTGTTACGTACAGAATGAGGTTTTATGTTTGTTTTGATTTTAAAAAGAAATGTTAGGAGCAGATTGTGTGTATGTGTGTGTGTGTGTGTGTGTGTGTGTGTGTACAGGACCAGTGAGTGAAAATAATGAGGAAATAGACGGTACACGCAATGCAGAGAATAAAACCGTAGCCATAAAAATGTGAGATACTTTTTATTGTTAAATGTGTTTTTAGAATTCTATCTGTGTAACTTCCTTAGCTTAGCTCTGTATGAATATTTCTTCTTTGTAAATAAAGACAGATTTTAATACTCTTAAACAAGTGTTACTATTATTTATTGACTCTTACTGACCCAAGTGTAAAAAAGGTTATGTACAAAGCCTTTTTTTTTTTTTTTTGCTTGGATCTTCTTGGCCATGTCCATCCTCATCCAGTAGAGAGCACTCAAGGACTGCAGCCACATGTCGGAGCGCAGCAAAAAGCTATTATAACCCACCCACACTATATACCAGCTACAAAGAACACAAATTCACATCTTTGCAGAGAGGGGCCCTGGGTTATGGGTCATGAAGCTTTATTTCCTTCGGTTGATAAGACATAGCCAGCAAGTATTGGGCCAGAAATTGACTTTTTACAAGCTATGAGTGGTGCTAGTCGTGGAGTGACGAGTCATTCGCAGTAGCCCTCCAGGTGGTAAATGCTGCATGGCTTGTGGCAGCACTGTTCCACAATGCCTCTCTTCACCTTGGGCTCCTTGTGGCCAGACAGAGCCTTCCACAGCCGTTGCTCCTGTCTGGCTCTTTTGGACAGGAACCCTTTGAAGTGGAGAAAGTTTCCATAGCCCTGTGTTAAGTCCGGCTGCTGCTGTGCAAACCTCCAGTTCTTCAAACTACCATTTAGACTTACCGTTTACACTTTAATGGAGACTTAATGGCTAGGTAATCTGATCTCCCCAATCCATTTAGTCTTGTTAGTCTTTACTTCAAGAGGAGATATGACGGAGCTCCAACAGAGGCATATAATAGCTTATACAAGTTAACATCAAAACATCAATGTGAGGCGGGTGATTCAAATAATGTGAGAATAACGAGGAATTTGGGGATTTCACAAGATTTGTGATTATTGGATATGCCACATCATAAATGTTGAAAGCAACAATAAGAAACAAAAGCCTGGCCACACCACTGAATTCAAAAGAGGCCGGAGACCGGCTTTGCACACTAATGATGGTTTGGACAGATACATAGATTTAGTTCAGGGAAGTTTCCAGCGTGTTGTCTCAAAACATTTTTCCTCCAGCTAGGATCCAAATTGGCATTCTCATTAGACTCAGTCTGAACTTTGAACATGGCAGGCAGAGACTACAGAAACACAAAGCCAGCCTGGGGTCTCTGGGCAATGTCATACTGTTCCTTTCTGAACTCCCACTATCAAGAGGACAATTAGAATTTTTGTTTTTACACAAGTTAAACAGAAGAAGTCATAACTGTTCCCACAGTGGCCTTACCGAGCAGATGTTCCAGGTCCCGCTTGTGGGGTCGGTTTGGACTGTAGAAGAAGCCCCGTTCTCCGCATACGAAGTAGAGGGCGTCAACCAGGTGAGAGCCACACAAGTGCTGGGCGGGGACCGAGGATGCCCCTGGAGAGTAAAGCACCAGCAGTAACAGCATGGACACCGCCCATGGTATCCTGGCCATAGGAGGGAGAGCTTGGAAAGAGCACAAAAAGAAAATCTCACACACACAAAATAGTACACATCTGATCTTTCTTTTTTTTTATTACGCTATGTTTCAAAGATAAAGAGCAAAAACTGAATCCACCCATCAGAGTTTAATACCTCAAGGCCAGATGGTTGAAAGCTAAAGGATGAAGTGATTTGATCAAATTTGATCAGACCTTTCTTGATAACACTCAGGCATTACGAGACCACTTTCTTTTAATAGCTTTCGATATAGATATTTTCTGATGTTCCTGTGAAATTCTACCGGATGGCTTCAGGCCTTGGGAGTATATTAGCTCAGAGACAACACTGAAGGCACGCAGCAATACCCCAACTCAAAACAAGGGCTTTGAAGTGAGCAGAAAACTGAACAGTTCTTTTTTTTTTTTTCATTGGAAATCCAATGCCGGGATGAAAAGCAGTGGTGAAGCAGGGTCTGCAGAAAAGTCATTGGATGATATTTGACTCAAATCTCAAAATCTTCCAAATCAGTGTGAGCATAAGCAAGCACAATCAAAGATTTAAAAAAGTGATGAGTGCAGAAATTTACATTTTGATGTGGTCTTCAAGCTGGTCTTTACTGGCGAGATGTGGTAATAATGCTTAAAATCGACCCAAAACTGAATGTTATCTTTTTCATGTTGGACATTTCATAGTTCAAATTTATAAACAGCATCTCAGGGATCAGCCATCCAAGGTTATTTTTAATGTTATTTCTACACAGGTCCTATTGAAGTAAATTGAAAATTGATTTTATTTTGATTCCTTTTGCTTTCCTTTTATCCCTAGGTGAGCCTTATTTTATTAAAGCACCATCTATTACAAGCTAGAAAGAATGCCTATGTCCCAAAATCATCATTGTGGACACTGTCAGTGTGTCCTCAAGGTCAGCCCCCACCTTGCTGTCCAGCTTAGCAGCTGTAGTGCTCAAGAGTGGCTATGATCTGTCTGAGATTACCGAATTGTTATTAGTGTTATTAGTCAAATCCCATTTGTGATGGATATTCTCCTGGGTTGGAAGTTCAGCTCCATTTTCAAGGTGAAAAACATATTTAGCAGTCATTTAGAAACTATATAGACCTTTTGTAGACATCTTATAGTGTACTGCAGATTATTGGATTGAAAATGAATCATTTTAACAGTGTCTTTAACAATGCACCTGTGCCAGGCATTACAACATTGGCAGAGCACTCTATCTGGCCCGCCACTCCTCTATCCCTCTTGGCTGTATGCCAGGCTGCTTGGCACAGCAGATTGGTTGAATTATAGATCTTGCCCGTGCTACTCTTTACTTTCATCCCTGGTTATTATACACATAAATTTTAAAAGTTGAAATCTTGAGGGAATACAGAGAAACTTGCTTACCTGTGTTTGAGGCCTCAGTGCAGCAGAGCAGTTGGTAGTTATAGATGAAAAGGGCCCAGGCCTTTAGGACTATACAGGTACAGAGAACATCTCCACTTGGCTACCTTGCCCCTTTATAACTCCCCACCTCCACCTGTCCTTTGTCAGGCTCAGCGGAAAACTCTAAGGTCCTCTCATTAACACCCTTACCTGTAACCATGTTGATCTGTTCTTGAGTGGCACTAAGTCATTTAACTGGAGTGTGGACCAACAGCAGTTTCGAGACAGAATTGAGAAGGGCAGTCACCTAGAGAGATACCTAATTTAACCCCCTGCTGTGTGATGACCTAACTGGCACAGTTCACACACTGACTGACAAACACCATATGCCATGTTCTGATCAGAGTGTAGATTAGAGGACTTCCAGGTTGGTTAGTGACCACTAGTGGTGTGTTTAAAACTGTATAGGCAGAATGCTTTTGACTGGGGTCACTCAGGACACCAATGCTTTAGTATTTTTAAAAAGCACTATTAAAACAGTAGTCATTAGAAATAAAATATTAACAAAGTCATGAAAAAACAATAAAATGATAGATATGATAGAATGTGAAATATGACAAAATGTATACTACTGAGGCCTGTGGGTACCCCAGTATATAGGATTAAGGTTAAGGAGGAGCTGTGTGCACAAATAATAGCCAGTAATTAAAAGAAATATATTTTGAGGGGGGGCTTTTATTGCTTAGAAAACGCTGAAGAGTGTCAGAAAAGGGGAAAAGAGAGAGGGGCTGACATGCAGCAAAGGGCCACAGGTCAGAGTTGAACCCACGGCAGGTGCAGTAAGGACCCAGCCTTGGTACATGGGGCACCAGTTCTACAGGTGAGCTACCAGGGCTGTTATCAGTCTCTTCCAAATGAGAAAAAAAAACAAAAAACAACTAGAGATTTCATAAAAAAATATAAATATATTCTGCCTAAAATTATTATCATGTCACATATAATGTCGAAAGAAACCCACAAAACTATCATGTTCATCATATGGTAAGTTTTCACTTTCCTGGATACATCGAGTACATGTGTTGGATAGTATGATTGTTACATTTTGTAACAGTTGTGCTGTGTTGGTGCTGATTCCTGTGCTATTTTCAATTTACCTTTTTATCATTATATGTGATGTGTCAATACTTACTGAGTAGGTCCTCCTTAAAAAATAATCTTAAAAAACTATTTTTCTCATATAAAGCTACTGTACAACAAAATGTAACATAAATGCAATTCTTTGGATAAAACATAGTCTCTTTTGTCTTCTGTTAAAGCTTTTTTTCTAACTCTTGTCATGTGCAGTAGCCGTTCTTTCTCATTTCAGTGTGCCTACGGTATCTAAGGGTAGGCCAAATGTAGACAAGGGGTGACACACTGTATAATTTCATCTGAAATGATTGTCAGGCCCCGAGGACGCAGCACAGCTCTGTACTATCACCTCTTTACCTCTGTGGTTTAATTTCACTTTTGATATCTATAATTGACACCAGGTCACTCCATGTGTGTTGTTGTAATGGAATGTCCCATAGAAGAACACGTACAATATAACATATGTGTATAAAATATGACATGGACATTTGTGAGTGTTTGCGAAATGTGTGGCTGCATCGTGGACAGTGAAGCTCTGACATTGTAGAGCCTTTTAATACTAAGTTGAACTGTCACACTAAAAATAACTGTACAAACCAGGAATTTGCTACTGCGGATGGCAAAAACTCAGGATCAGTTTTTAGCTTCAGGAAATTGAGGTGCATGTTCAGCTGAACTGTCCTAGGAACAGGACTAATGTAGTTTCTAAAAATGTTTTCACATTCCCTTTTTAGGTGTCATTGCAGCATAGAATTTAAATGTACTCACCAGCGGCATGCTCACCTTGAAAAAGATCCAGTGGTCAATAAATCCAAATGCATTTTAATAAATGAAATTTCTCAACCTGAAAAACTTTAAGAACAAATAAATCTCGAGGTTGAAAGTTTATTTGTGGTATTCTATGTGTGATGTATGCAGATCTATATTGCATGTTACTACATTTTTACTGTCTCTGCAAAGCACCTTTTTACAACATATTGTAGATAAATCTGTGTGTAACGTTTGCTGCTTGTGGTTGTATCTTTTCTACACATTTTTCACTGGAATCTTTCCACTAACAACACAAATGCCTAAAAAATCATATCAGGCAGATATGCCAACAAGGGTTGGCTTATACATGCTTTTTCTACACTTTGAAGGGGTGGGGTGCATTAAACTTGCATTCTGACCTCATACTCATCTCATCTCATGTTGATATTTAGTTTTGATCAAGAAGCTGAACTGACCGATAAAAATTGCAACATTACTGATGTATTAATGCTAATTTGTTGTCTGGTATAAGATGATGAGGTAACATACTGGTAGTAGAAATAGAATAAATAAAAAGCTGATGAAACATCTCAAATAGTTTATCCTGATATTATAAATTTGCTAAAATGCCCTTTTAAAGTAAAGATACATTTACATTCTGATGGACTGAACATCAACGGTTACATTTTCTCTCACTCCTGACTGTTGATTTATTATTATCAGCCTCTTTTATACTGTATGTTGTTATTTGATGCAGAAACCAGATGAAAAAAACAGAGCCAATTAACCCACAGTTCAACTTGTTTTTCATTTATTTTCCACAAGGAGAATGACTTTACAGTAAACAACTTTGTAACTCGGTAGCATTTTTGATGTGTAATAATAATATCAAGCTGACAAGATCAAATATCCTTTTAATAAGTAAGACAAAGAACATCACATAAGGGTCCATGTGTGTTAAAGTGGCTTTTGGGCACTGTAAAAATTAACGGAAGCAGATGTTCACTTCCTTTAAATGACAGGTTTCAGCTAAATGACAGTAGAGGGAGTGCAGGTCTATCAAAACCTTGCTAATGAAAGGAGGGCCTTTGGAGGAATGATAAAAGAGAAAGGTGGGAAGAAAGCTATCCAGCACCTTGGCACTGCGATTTGAGTAGGTGTTAAATGTAGAACCAGGAAAGGTCCAACTTTGCCATGCTTTGAAACTCGTTCCTCGGGGGAACAGAGCAAAGCGGCAAGAGCTGTTAACAACAGGCATATCCTTCTCTCCCCGGTCGCATGGCTGCTTCAAACACACACATCAAATAGCAGAGGACTAGCAGACGCCCCAGACATGCAGAGACAGACAGAAGTTAGGTGGAAAGTCGGCTGGGTCCCTAAGGTGGGAGTTGCGTAACTCGTCTTCTCTTCTACTGCGTTTGAGGAGATAAAAGGGAGTGAGGAGTTCAGACTAGTGAGATGTTGTTAATCTGCTCTGATAGTGAGCCTTTTTACTCCCATAATTATCCCCGACTTTCTGAGGATGGAAACTGAAGGGACTTAGAACATCAAAAAAAAAATCGTTGACTTACGCAGCAGACAACAGAAACAGCTTGAATCATTATGTTTTTATGTGAGAGTTTGAACCGTAAGACGGAAGTAATGAGACAGATTTCCATAAGTCAACTTTGAGAAACGGATACTGATACAAAGGCTCCGTGAAGATTCATCTGTGCCTAGACAGAGCAAATCTTTGAATATCGAACGACTTCCATTAAAAACCACTGAGGGCCGAAAAGAGAAAGCATCAAAAAACTGTCAAAGAAAAGTTGAGAACTTCTTCTTCTTCTTTTTTTTTAGCAAGGGCAAAACAGTTTGGATTCTGGCAGGTCAAGCAGCCCTTGTCATATGCAAACATTGTCTCATGCATGTGTGCGCATACACACAAAAGACAGACTGGACAAGTCCGCCTGTTCCAGACACTGCCCTCCATGTGTGTCATGGCCTGTTGGCTCAGATCCATGACAGAACGCCACAGATTTTCAGAAAGCGTTGGTGTGTGTGTGTGAGACCGTGAGTGAGAGGGAGAGGTCTGCCCTGGTGTCTGCACTCTCCTGTCCTGCCACTGACAGTCGCTAATGCAGTACTAACCTCTGTCATGACCTACTTTGCTATGCCACCTCTGTCCGGACCCTTACAGCCTTACAGAACATACACGCACACACGCATTAATAATGAATAATAGGAATCTCTTAAAATTCATTTTCTTAAAAACTGTACTCGATTCATTGCACGCACGCACACACACACACACACACACACACACACACACACACACACACACACACACACACACACACACACACACACACACATACACAAGACATTTGGGCAGATTAGAATTAGAAGTTGACAGGTTGGGTTGGGGAACAGAGCTTGGTAAGAGCATGGTTTGACAGCTGAGAAAATGACTACATGTTATAAATGTGACAAGTCCCCAAGAGAGAGGTGAGGCAGGACAGAATGATGGCCAGTTTGATTTTCAGGCTAGAAAATAGATTTCTATTTAAACCCTCATGCGACCGGCCTTTTCAAGTTGAGCTCAGCGCGAGACAAGAGAATTCAATTTAGAATTGGCATTTTTCTAGTTTGCGTTAGGCGTCCTTTAGTTTGATGGATTGATATGAGAGCGCCTCGCTTCCTCTCTGAAGGGATTTTTTTCTTCACACCACATCTGAAGGGAGAAGGATGTTGTTTCTCTTTCTATTGTGACCCTCCCATCTGGGGATTACAACCCTTAAATGCACCAATGAGAAGTAGCATCAGCTTGAAATGTGCTTGATCTCTTACATTTCTCATTGGAAGAGGGTGTTCATTCACTTCCATTTGAGATCGATGCGATACAGTCTTTGTCTTGTTGACAGCATTCAAAATCTGTTTTATGGCTGCATCCATTTGACTTTCACACCGCAGCGAGGTAACTCACTGTCTTTTCAATAAGGAGAAGTGGTTTCAATCACGCCAGTAGGGGTATGAAGCGGTTGCCGCCCACGCAAATCCTAACAGGTTTTTTTCTGCTGCCCAAAAGTCACCAAGCTGAACTTTGGGTGCAGTAACCACCTAGCTTTGGCCGATCAAATAAGAGTGCAGGCATTGCGGATCAGAATGCATAGCAATGGAGGGGCTGATATAATTGGTGCTTGAATACACCAGTACTGTACAACATGGCGGTAGCTACTTATAAAGAC